AAGTATTTATATTCCTTGCCGACAGCTGGTCATTTGCATCTTTTATAGAGTCATTGAGGCCACTTGGAGGTTCATCTGTGTCCTCAGAGTCACCTGAGTAGTGCCAATGGGTGTGGAGTCTTCTTGGAACTACTGAAAGGACTGTATTGTAGACTGGAGATAGATGATCTTGTATCCTTCTTCCTCTTTTGAGAAAGGGTTGTTCAATTTTGACATAGATGGCCTCAATGGGATATGACATCATCTATCTCCAGTCTGCAACACAGTCCTTTCAGCAGTTTCAAGAAGGCTCCACATCCATTTGCACTACTCAGGTGACTCTGAGGACACAGATGAACCTCCAAGTGGCCTCAATGACTCTATAAAAGAATGCAAATGACCAGCTGTCGGCAAGGAATATAAATATAGATGGTGGGGAATGGAATATCCTTCTATTCCTCACCATCCAGTCAGGATTAAAGAAGCTTTCTTTGGTCTTCAAAGAAAAACAAGAAAGTCCAGTTCCCTTGTGAAAAAGCACCTTTGGGACATACTAAAACTCTAATCCCTGTAACTGGAAGAAATAGTACAGCATAGGACTGAATCTTTTCAGCCAAGGTACTTCAAATGGGCTAATTTACAATGTGCATCAAAAATCCAGGACACAGACTTCCATGAAATTGAAATTTGGCAAACTTAGAAAACATCATAAAAGTTTATGACACAATATAAAATGTCATAAAACATTTGCTGTGCTACTGTTTAACTATGATACACATTTTAACATGGGGTATTTTCAAGATAGGATACATCTCTGAATGTATGAAGGCAGAACATTAGAAGCTCGGTCATTGTTAAAAGCATCGAGGAATCCTGCAAGGAAATAGCTCACAAATGAGAGATTTGTCTAATTGGAATTTAATGGGGATACTATTCTTTATATTATATTGTTATAACATAATGTAACATAATATGTTACATTATTAGGTAACATGCTCTGAAATGCATAACTTTGTTCCATCAAACCAATGTGGCATTTAGTCCAGCATTTTGTGTCATATCAGGTGCATCCAGAAAGCCTACAAGGATGGCTGGGAAAATAAATAAATACATCTTCTGCCTTATGCTTAAGGCACAGATTCTATGAATTAGAACTAGAAATAGCCATCAGAGCTACAGGTAGTCCTTGGCTTATGACCCCAACTGAGTCCATAATTTATGTTGCTAAGTGAGAGATTTGTCCCATTTTATGATTTTTCTTGCCACATTTGTTAAGTGAACCACCGCAGATGCTAAATTAGTAACATGGTTGTGAGGTGAATCAAGCTTTTCTATTACTTTGCTTGTTTTGAAGGTTCACAAAAGATGGTCATATGACCCCAGAATACTGCAACCATCACAAATGTGAACCAGTTGTCAAGCATCGAACGTCAATCATGTGACCCTGAGGATGCTGCAACCGTCGTAACTGTGAAAAATGATCCTGTCACTTTCCTTCAATACTGTTGTAACTTCAAACTGCCACTAAATGAATTGTTGTAAGTTGAGGACTACCTATAGTCGCATAATGGTCCTTACCCTCCTCCTGGTTCCCCTTTTAAACCTCTCAAAATGAGTGCCATCAAATGGCAAAACCCAGAGTTGAACCAGCTTGGATCGGGCATATGTATGGGAGATGCAGTGATGTTTTCCCAGAGCACTCGGAGGAGACCCTCTGACCACTCACCCCCCTCCATCCCCCTCTCAGCTGGATGCAGGGTTTCTGCCTGAGGTGCTGCTGTTGCATAGCAATCTCCGCTCTCCACGCCACTGCCTTTTTAAACAAAAGCCTTCCAGCCCTCTTGAGGAATTGGGAGACTGGACCCAAATTCAGTTTGGAGTGAAAACATCGGGCGCGGTCACGTGCTCTGGAGCCCGGCCGAGACCTTTTGAAGGCTGAGAACTCCTCGATTCCGCAGAGATTGATATTCTTTTTGTTCTCCGAGAATTGACAATAAGAGGCTTTGGTCCTCCTTGGCGGGAAAGGAGGGAGAGAACTTAGCAACGGGCGAGCTGTTTTGATCTCGGGGCTATTTGCTGGCCGAAACGGGGGGGGAGGGGGAGGGGAAGGAAGATTTACACTTTTGGCGCTGGAGAAAAGGTCAACTTTTACTGGACAGAAACTTTGGGTGGAAAACAGCTTTGTCTTCACAGGCTTGAAAAACCTCTTCCCTGCGTGCTTGGGCGAGAGATTTTCGGGCGGAAGATTATGCTACAGGTTAGCAAGAGATGGTTTGACGCATTGCACAGTGGCACCATTTTATTCCACCTCCCCATTTTTATTTCTAAAAAAGAAACCTGTAATAAAACCATCTGTAATAAATTAAAAAATCTGTTAAAACTATCTGTAATAAATTAATCCATTTCTCTATGTCCATGTTTGTCATTTGAAGGGAACTCTTTTTTAAAAACGTGGGCGGAGGTTGGGTTTTGCCATTGATCGTTTTCTTTGATTTTTTTTTTGTCTTCCTGTCCTTTTAAAAATGAAAGTCAGGGCTGCCCCCCCCCCCCCGTTTTGTGCAGAGCATTGATTCTGGATCAAAATGGGATGGACGGGTGAAGGAATAGCAGCAAAGTTGTGTGCGTTTATGGCAACAACAGCTGTGTTTGTGCGTGTTGAGGGAACATTGCTTTTGCTGCATTCCTTAAATTAAGCTGTTTTTCCAGGGGCATGAGCAGACACACTGTTGTTCGCAAATGCTTATTCAGTCAACTTCAAAATCTGGAATTAATCATTTTTACCTGAGTTTTGTATTTTGCAGCAAAAAAAAAAATGCCTTGGGCACCTCTGAAACTTCCTTTGCAGATTGAAATGGTATAGTCCTAAGTATTGCTTGGGTATAATCTGATCAGGCCCTCATATTTCCAGTTTCTTTGGGTGGGGGGATTGGATTTCTATCCTCAGCCACCTATTTACCAGGACTAATGTGAAAATCAGGCAACTGGTCTTTTTTTATCCCTCTTATAATACAGGTAGTCCTCAACTTACAACCATTTGTTTAGTGACTGTTCAAAGTTACAATGGCATTGAAGTGATTCACGACTGGTCCTTGCCCTTGTTTGTCATAACATCTGCATAGTCATGTAATCAAAATTCTGGCAACTGGCATGCATTTAGATCAGGGGTGCTAACTCTGCCTGGTTTAGCGAAGGGGGAAAAAGTCCCGATATGTCACATGACACCGCCTTGACACTGCAAGTTTGACACCCCTGCTTTAGATGGTTGCAGTGTCCCAGGGTCACAACCGTCATTTCCACCATTCCAGATGGCTTCCAATGAACAAAGTCAATGAGGGAAGCTGGAATCACTTAATGGTTTAGTTAACAACTACAGTGATTCACTTAATAACCATGCAGGGAAAAGTCATAAATTGAATGCGATTCATTTAACAATTGCCTTGCTTAGCAATGGAAATTCTGGTCCTAGTTGTGGTTGTGAGTCAAGGACTACCTATATCTTTTTCTTGACCTAGAACCAAATGTGCTTCACATGAAGCTGTTATTAAATTTCTTTTGGGGTGAAAGAAAGTAGCTTTTGTACTGTACTCTGTTCCATTGCTAATAACTTGAGGTAGGTGGAGGGAACAGTAAAAAAAATGACCAGAAAGCATTAAATATTATCTCCCAGAGCATTATGTCCTAGACAATAAAACAAAATGAATAATATGCATAAGGCAAGTGGTCTGTAGCCTCCCATGATACATTTGAATGATCATTCAGAGAGGCAACCTGGGGGCTTCATATCATTGGCCTTCTCCTGACTCAGCAGCGCCAGTGGCAAATTGTGACCTAAGAAAGGAAGAAGCTTTGATACAGATAGTAAATACAAACCTCTCCATGAGAACAGCCAGTTGGAACATATTTTGCAAATCTTTCAGAGTAGGTTGTGAAGTGAAGTGGAAATTCTAAATAGTAGCAAGCAGCGATTAATTTTAGATTTGGCCCACAACCAAAGGATTTATTATTTTTATTGCAGAATCTTGGAGCCAAGATTGCTGGAGCAAAAAGCTAGGGAAGCTGCATCTGTTGGAATGTCATGATTAGGGCAGTTCAACACTCATCTTTGCTGCCAATTTACTGGGCATCTATAGGCATGAGAACATCTTTCAGCCTCAGCTCATCAGCAGTAAGAAGATAGCATGTACCTACTTTCCATACATTATTAAACTTGTTTGTATGTGAATATCTTGTAACTATAATATAGATTACTAGTGGGACCTGCAAGAAAAGGTTAGCCAACTTTTCCCATGACCATATCAGATTCATATACATTATGTGATTTGTCCGATTTTGACTTGGGGTGATAGGTGACTCTAATCACTGTGATTTGTAAACTTTTGTTTATAGTTTAATGTGTCTTATGAACTCAACCAAATATGGATTAGTAAGTATATAAGTAAACTACAGCTTAAGTCGGTGTCTCCAGTTTTAATCCATAAGGAGCTCCATTATTCGCTTCTCTTTTATGCTGGACATCTTTCAGTAAACTAAGCATCCTCAATTCTTGTAGGACAAGAATTTGGAGAGAGGCAGAAGCTGCCTTTCCAATCTATAAAAATATTTTCCAACTCTTGCCACAGTGATTCCTTGTTTCCTGTGGTCCCATTTCAGTGTCAGAGTTCATTCAGGAGGTTCAATCTTTTTTATTCTGAATTTCCTGGAGACAGATGAAGTATCAGTTCCTGAAATACTTAATGCTGTGGAGTCTGGTACTCTCTGAACTTGTTTTGTTACCCTAGTCAGGTAACAAAATGTCTGCAAGAAAACAACCAACTCAGAGAGCATCAAGGACTCCAAAGTTCAACCCTGGACTACTTATATTCTCTTCTATTGCTACTCAATGCTGGTCTGATACCGAGCCTTGTTTCTTTGATATTTTATAGCAATCTTTTGTGATCTTCCCTGTTGAATGGAAGCTGTTATGGCCTGTGGCCTGCATGTGTGGACTATACAAGTATCATAAAAAAAGAAGCAAAAACTGATTCCTCTAGAGATTTTTATTGTTAAGAGTAGGGATTCACCATTGACTGCTCTGGGAAAAATAAAGCAGAGCCCACACATTCTCAAATACAAGGATCCCATTACATGTGGGAGTTAAAACTCCAGCTGGAGTCCTTTTCAAACAATGCCCCCTTTTATAAGCAACTGAGCAATTAACTCCCAGTGCCTGTTCAGGTTAGGGAATAAGTAAGATATCTTCTAGTTGGACCAATACCTTTTTGGTTCCACTGGAGGCTTATGACCCTGTTCAAGACTGTATACCACTCAAAACCTTACATATCGATACCCCCAACTTCAACAGCTGGTCCAAAGTTAGAAGTTTGACCCCTTAAAACATCATGCATTCCTTATTTTGTGAGATCAACATGGCAAACAACATCTAAGCATGTAAGTCTTTAATACAGTTGGTAACATTCAAAGAACTGATACAGTCAGAATCCGATTACAAGAGTTCCTCCTCCATGGTACTACAGGAGCCCTGCTCAAAGCCAACAGCCAGAACCCACTAAATCAGCGCTTGGTGCAAAGAACCCCCCCCCCCCCACAGCCAATAACAGTTGGAGTCTCCTCCTTTTATCTCCTTATGTCAAGGGTCTTCAAACTTGGCAAGTTTAAGACTTGTGGACTTCAATCCCAGACCTCCTGAGCTAACATGACTGAAGGAGAAGTTCTGGGAGTTGAAGTCCACAAGTCCTAAAGCTGTCAAGTTTGAAGACCCCTGCCTTATGTGAAACCATAGACTCATTGGCTATTGTCATTTGTGCCTGCCACCGCTGCAACAGTGCAATCTGTCTCAAGCTTCCCACTGCCCCCAGCATTTCCCAAAAGGAACAATCCCACCCTCCCCAGTGCCCCCCATTTCAATCTTGCCCAGCCTCCCAATGCCCCAATCACAGAAAACAGTTGCTATCTTAGCAGGAACTGTGCATGCACACCACAAAGCAGCTACCATCTATGAAAGTGGAAGGGAAGGGAGACCAAAAAGAGGAAATGTAGCCTTTGATCAGGGAACAGTATATGCACAGGAGGGAAAGCTATAAAATAAAAGCCAAGAGAGAGATCATAGAGGAGGGGAGAGGAATGAACAATCTAGTTTTATTTTAAAAGGTAAATGAAAAAAAACCAGGTCTAAGCCCCTGGAAGGAACCAGAACTTCAAAGACCATTTAGATAGATGGAATCAGGACAGATGAGACCAAGCCAGACAAGTACAAGGGTAAAAATGAGTTGGGTAGAGGAAAAACAACTCTTGTTTGGGAGCATTAGGTTAGCATGATAGTAGCAAGTCAAGTCCTTACTGGGGCTTGTGCGTCTCACTTGTGAGGTCCTGCTTTTTATTTTTATTTTCCTCCTATGTACACTCCAGAGGGGACAAAAGAGAGCTAGCAAGGCAATAAGATGCCATCCGGCTACTCCAAGAATATATCACTAAAGATTTAGGGGAAGGAACATGGGTTAGTTATGATTATACAGGGGGGGAAAAACCAAAGCCCAATGATAATCCAAATCTCCTATATCAAGGAAGCTAAATGTGCAAGAGAATTAGAGGGCAAAGAGAAACATCAGAGGAGATATTGATTATCTGATAATTTAGAAAACGTGTAGTCTTCCATCCATACCTCCCTAGGTACTGAGGATCACTATAGATACCAAAGGCAGACAACACTAGCTTTAAGTTATGAGAGAAAGGAAGGCAAGGTTGGTAAGGAAGGTGGATATGATGTGCTGGATTTAAAGGTTGGGGGAGTTAATGTTTGTTTTAAAAAGAGTAAAGTTGCATCCCATCTGGGCCTCCTTGGACTTTTAGTACCGTTAGGGGAGATTGTCACCTGGCCCAGTGGCCGGAGTGCATTGTGGGATAGCAGAAGGAGTCCTGTTCAGAGGTGGGAGGCGGTCTCATCCCCTGGCCTGGAGCTCAGCAGGACACCTCCATGGTGGGGGCAGGTGGCTGTGGGGCTCCTGCCTCGCTGCTCTGGGACAGGGTGCGAGACCGGGAGCGATTCCCATCCCCGGAGGTGGCGCTGGACAGAGAGGCGGTGCGGGAGCGAGAGAGGCGCGTCATGCAAGATGAGGCCACTGTGGAGAAAGAAAAAAATGAGAGGGAAGCAAAGTTAGATAAAACTCTTGCATATTATAAAAGGCAATTATCAAGACCTTATTTTGAATTGAGCCAATGATGGAGTAAGTGGCATCTGTACGAAAAGAAGGGAAAATAGCAAGGAAGATACCAGCAATGATCAGGGTCTAAATGGTTGAAAACAGCAATCCACAACCTTTCTGGCTTGGTGGCCCAGTGGAGGTGGGGGGAAGGGAATGGTTCTGTGTGAGTGGCAGATAGGCACATGAGTGCATGCAGCTCTAGCCACCCCTCGCACAAATGGAGTTCACACATGAGAGTAATCACTCGCCACTTGTGTGGCCTAGTTCCAAAAAGGCCACGGCCTGGTAATGGGCTGTGACTTGGGGTTTGGGGACTCCTGGTCTAAAATTGGCCCAATGTAATTCCTTAATTGGGTGCTCTCTAAGATCTAGAGAACAAGGAAAAGTGAGGACTGCTTAGACTCTAGAAAAGGAAGCCTATCTGGTACAAGAGAAAAATGAAGGAGAAAATTTCTAATCTTCTAGGACAGAAAGCATATACGTCTTGCAAGTTATTTTCAAATGTTTTCTATTGACAGCCTGCACATTCTCTTCTTCACAGTTGGCACTTATCCACATCTTGGCTTTCTGGCTTTGGCGCCAAACAATGAAGTTGCATACCATCAGCTTCTGCCTTCCCCAATATTTAACAGAGCCCCTTAAAAGTATGGAGTGCAACAAATCATTTGCAGACAATTAGTACACTGACATAAAAAGGTTAATCAAGTGAGTGGTCTTATTTTGAAATCAAACCACAGTGCAGGATTGCTGGCAATCCTTGTATAATAGCACATCAAAGACCATCCCTATTTGGGCACACAACAAAAATCCAAACAAAATGTCTGCTTCTGCTATCCCACTACCACAGCAAACAACTCGGTGTTCTCTAGTGGAAAGGGGAGGTTGTGCATTGGGGAGTGAAGTAACCAGAGGAAAGGTGAGCAGACATGTTGGAGGAGAGAATTATGGGAGATGAGGGAGAAATACCATATAAGGTACCTGACCCCTGACTCAATTTCTTGTCCAGTACATGAGGGACTGAGGAGAAACAGGAAAGGATATCCTTAGGCTAAACTGATCAAGAACTTGTACTTAGAATGAATGTTCCATAATGTTCAAGGCCTGAGCTGATACTCTGATTGCTCTAACTGAGCTCTAAATAGCCATGGAGAGAAGGTAGATGTAGAAGTGGGAAGGAAAGAGGGAATTGGGGGAGCAGGATTCAGAGAAAATGAGAACTTCTAAGCAATCCCAATTATCTGGAAGCATCATTTTGGGTGCAAGGACCAGCCAAAAAATGGGTAGTCCCAGGAATCAAGTAGTACAATTATGGTGAGTCCATGTAGTGTCCCAAGTGACAATGTCTTCTTTTTCCTAGTTTAATTTATAATCTCCGCCAACATTATTTATTTATTTATTATTTATAACCTCACATGTTATGCGAGCTTAAATAACTCTGGTTTATTTATTAAACTACATCTAAATAAACCATAACTCGGTGTGCTTTGTGAATGCCATCTAGGGTACAAAAGGACCTTGTCAGGAATGTCTCTGCTCTTGGCTAGATGAAACACAAGGTTTTGCAGCCCCATAACTTATGAACTTTGGGGGATGGACAATGGGACAGAGGTTCTCAGATCCAATACTTACTATAACCCATTCCTTGCACAAAGTATTTGAATGCCTCTGTCAGTTTTCCAGGCTGAAAGATACAAAAAGACCAGAGAAAAACATTAAAAAATGCATATCTGGAAAGAGAGGGTGGGGCCAAAAACCCTAAAGGTTCAATTACTTGCTTCCTTGCTTCCAAATTACTGCTCATTGACTATATTTGTGGGGAGGGGACAGCAAAGATTAGAAAAACATCTGACATGGAACCCCTTCAAATTTCTTTTTATGAAACCCATTGAAACAAATTCTGATTTCCTCACACAATGGGAGACGATCAATTGCAAGGGTCTTCAAACTTCAAAAACAAGTTTAAGACTTGTGGACTTCAACTCCCAGAATTCCTGAGCTAACATGACTGGAGGAGGAATTCTGAGAGTTGAAGTGTATATATATATATACACACTTCAACTCTCAGAATTCCTCCTCCAGTATATATACAAAGTGTGTGTGTGTGTGTATATATATGTATATATATATACATATATATATACATATATACATATATACAT